TCCCCCATACCCCGCCAACCCCAGTGCCCCGACCCCTCCCAACCCTCCCAACCCCTATTCCCCGACCCTCCCTAACCCCCATACCCCGCCAACTCCCGTGCCACGACCCTCCCAACCCTTCCAGCCCCAATTCCCCGACCCTCCCTATCCATACACACCTTGTAGCGATGTATGACGTACGTCCCTCGACTCGAAAAGCTCCAGGCCACGCTCTGGAGGGTAGTGGGTGCAGTCGGAGGCCAAGGACAACGTTAGGCTAAGCTTCAAATATGCATGTTCTAATGCACTGTTTTTAGCACTCATCTGGGGCGTTGCTTCGCTGCAATAGCCCATTCTTTCCCCCCGTGTGTACTCCCTAAAACCCTAAACAGGGGAGGCAGCCGTATTTGTATCCTCGTCCGCCAGCGTGGAGCCATCGGAGGAGTGGTTCGAGGAAAATGATGAATAGCACCGGCGAGAGCGTGTCCCCCTGTACTGTGCCTCGTTCGATCATTATTGGCGCTGTGTGGCCGTGTTCTGTCCGTATAGTGGTCCGCGCTTGGCTGTACAGGTCCCGTACGACATAGATGAGGTCCTCGGGTAGCCCTAGGTCGTACATGATCTGTAGCAGCAGGTCGTGGTTGATGGTGTTGAATGCCGAGGAGAAGTCGACGTATAGCAGGTAGAGGTCTTTGCGTGTGAGCCCAGCATCCTCAATGACGTGGAGCAGGTTTTGGATTTGCCGTTCCGTGTTTCTGTACCGGAGGAACCCTTCTTGCGCCTCGCTAAACAGCGTGAGTTCGGGAGCGACGTCCCCGATGGACACTGTGACGAGGCTAGTCCATAACTTATAAAGAGTGTTGGCGAGGGCAATGGGTCGCTTGTTGTTCAGGAGGAGCGCATCTCCTGCTTTTGGTAGAAGGACCGTAACGGATTCAGTCCATTGCTTTGGCGTGCGGGCCTGGGCCCACATGACTTTCAGGAGGTCGTGGATGGTGGACTGTAAGGCAGTGGGCAATGCTCTCAGTAGCTCGTTAGGTATCCCATCGGGCCCCGGTGTTTTATTGCGGGCCAGGTGTTGGACACACTTGTTAAAGTTAAAAGGGTCAGCGACGCTGCTAAGCAGGACGTGGTCCGCGGCCTGTTTCGGGCTGGTAAGGGAGAACGTGTCTGGGGCGGCACTCTGCAGAAATGGGTACGATCGAGGGGTTTCCTCGGGTCGGTACCGTCCAGTTTTCGGGGGGCCAATGGGGGCGGCCTGCGTCTGGAAGTACTGGTGGACTGCTTCGAGGATGGATTCGGGTTCCGTGCATATTTTACCGGAGACCGGGTGTTTCACCGCAGGTAGGCCGCGTTCGAGTTCATCTTTGCTGAAGATGCCTTGGTGGGCCCGTCGAGGGCGTGTGGCGATCAGATGCTGGGTTCGGCGGCGCGCTGCGGTTATGCTTTTCCGGCGTTCTGTTGTTAGTGCCTGCCGTATTTGGCTACCGACCCGCCGAATCGTGTCCCGTAGTTGCTCCAGTAAGCCCCCGGCACCTTCAGGGGGTGCGTGGTTGTCATTCGAAGCCAGCCCGTTAAGGCTTGTTGAGCTGTCCGTGCGAACTGGCTGTTGACATCCGGGGACGGCCTGCATCCGTAGTTCCATTTCATAGTCATGCTTGAGCCGGGTGTGTTCTCTGTGTGGCTTTTTTAGTCCTCTGCTGACTGTTCGTTTGGTGTGTATTTTGCCCGTACATGGCGGTTTCTGAGGGCACAGGTCTAGTAGGATGTCTAGTCCCTTGTCGAGGGTTGTTTGGAGCATTGCTGCCGCAATCTCCACATTGACCGCCGTGATGCTGTCGTGGCCGCGAAGTAGTGTCATCAAGCGGGTGGCTGTCATATCCGTGGGGTCCTCGATGTGTTTCGCGAGGCCAGCCTCAATCTCCTGGACGGCGGGGCGGAGGTATTCCTGGAGGCTGAGGATGTCCGACATGAGCGAGGCATCCATCTTCGATTGCGCTGCGCGGATAGTGGAATTCGGAACCGGCAGTATCACGTTTTTCCATTTAGTCCGGGCCCCGTCTCCGTCTGGGTTGTTTGGGGCTGCCGGTTTCTTGGCGTCCCACAGGCGGATGGCGTCGGCGGGCAGGCGGGCGTGAACGGGATTATGGTCGAAGTTTCCACCGGCGACAGAAACGTTGCAGTACGCTTGTGGCGTGTTCCCTTTTGCGGGTGTCTCCGCTTTTACACTCGCGTGTAGGGTGGGGCACATCAGGATATCGTCTATTCGGCTTTGGTGTGTACAGCATTTCTGGGTCCACTGTTTGAAGGACGGGTGNCGGGGGGAGCAGTTTTCAGGGACCGGTGTGAGCGTGTTATCGGTGATGAATTTGAGGTGTAGTCGGTCTGCTGTGTCGAGCAGGCCTGTACTGCGGTCGTCAGGGTTCAGAACGGCATTAAAGTCTCCGGCCAGGGCTACGTGTTCCCCGTTACTCTTGGCCTGTCTTAGAACTGTCCGGCAGTGTGCGTATATGGTGGTTCGGACTAGGGTGTTTTCCGGACAGTAGATTCCCAGCACGTGTAGGGGGGTACTTGCTGACGTGGAGATCTTGCAGTGGCACAGGTACCCTTGTAGCAGAGGCGGTGGTGATATGTGCGTCACTTGTCCTGCACGAGTGTAGCGGGCACCAATGGCAATTGCTACACCTGCTGAGTAGCGATCCTTGCCAGAGCTGCGTGGTTTTGAGCTGCAGTAGAGCCTTTATCCCTGCGGTTCTTTGCGTATGGCGTCCTTCATCCATCCGGTGCGGTTGCCGGTTTTGGTTTCCGTCAGGACAATGATATCAGCAGCCCAAGTCTGCATATTGCACATTGTACTGAGGAAGTTCGTCGCCAGTCCTCGCACGTTGTGAGTGACAATGTGTAGGTACCGGGGGTCCGTTTTATTGCAGTGTTCTGAGGGATTTGCATTTTCCGGGTGGGGAGATGTGTTGTTGTTTACGGGAGTGGTCGACAGTCTTGGGCGTTTGACGTTGGGTTCACTGGCGTTCCCATTTTCCCTTGTTGTGTGTATCGTTTTCCCGGGGTGGTCAGCCTCGGCTGGGTTGGTACGTTTGTTGACCCACCGCCGGAGGTGGTCCATGATCGTCGGCGGTTTGGGTCTGTTGCATTGCGCGTCCATGGGTAGGGTACACGGCGGCTTGGCTCGTATTCTGGTTCCCGTGGTTCGCGGGGCACCAGTTGTGGTGTCGCGTGGCCGCGGGAGGGTAATTCCAGTGTGCCCGGTATGTCGTTTTTGGTGGGGGCGTTCACGCGAGTCTTCCTCTAAGGGGGGTGGGAGAGGCGCGGCTATCAGATTGGGTGCTGGTCGGTGGTCATTGTCGTGTGCAGTCGGCTGCGGTGGTATCCATGTTCCTGGTGGCTCAGTTAGTGTTCTCGTTGTTTGATGGGTTAGTTGCTCTGCACGCAGGTGTTTGATCTTCCGCCGCTTTTGGCCTTGTGGTGCCCTCGTTGTTGTGCGCGTGGTCCCGTTGGGTGCTGTTTGGATCTCCGTGTTCTCAGTGTGGGCTGTGCACATCCAGGTGTCCGGGGGGGTTATGTCTCTCAGGTCCACGTGGGTTGCCGTGGGTTCTGTGTGGTGCCGGAGGTTTAGGGTGTATATTGCGCCGGTCGTCGTAGTCCCGACGTTAGACGGACGACGTTTAGTCGTTCCGTCGTCGGGACGGAGACCTTAGGCTGCGGGGGGCGTCCGCGTGTCCGTCCGTAGTCGTAGTCCCGACGTTAGACGGACGACGTTTAGTCGTTCCGTCCTCGGGACGGAGACCTTACCCCAACTTTCTGTCCATCTGTCCGTCCGGGTGGCCGCTTGCTGTTTTCGCGTTTTTCGGGGTGTCGTTCGCGGTTTCGGAGCCGCGCCTTTTAGGCTAGCTCCGTCGCCGCGTGGGAGCCGCGGTCGCCGGTTCGCGCCCCGCCGTCGCCGCTTTTTTCGTCTTCTTCCTGCGTTCGGTTTGGCGCCCCGCGCCGCGCCGCACCACACCTGCCCCCGCGGAAGGCGCCCCGGAGCTTGGCCGTGCGCCGCTTCGTCGGGCACGCTAGCTCCGATGTCTAGTGGGAGCCGCGGTCGCCGGTTCGACCCCGGCGACGGCGCGTCGATGTGTCCTTTTTTTTACGTTTACGTTGCGGCTCGCTGGCTTCCTCGCCCGGCGCCCGCACGTTTTTTTCTTCTATTTTTCGTTCGGGACCGCTCCGCACCGTCTAGTCTGCACCGCGCCGCACCGCGCCCACACCGCACACACACCGCACCGCACCGCACCCGTTACATATTCGCTGCGGCGACCTCGTGCGTATACATCCTTTTATTACCACGAAATCTCAGCTATCCGCGTCTTTACCGGCTTCCGTTTCTGCTTCGGTTTCACTGGACCCGGCCGCAATCACGCGAATTGGCAGCAATCCGCATCATCACCTAAGCACGTCTGTCTTTGCTGTATAACTCTACTCCTGTTTCGGAGTCGTTAAAGGTCACCGCAATCGCGCGAGTTGGCGACGTTCGGCGTCCGACGTTGAGCTTCGGTTTCGCTAGACGCGGCCACAATCACGCGAATTGGCACCAATCCGCGTTATCGCCTGACCACGCCTGTCTTCGCTGTATAACTCTACTCCTGTTTCGGAGTCGTTCAAGGCCACCGCAATCACGCGACCTGGCTCGCAGCCGCGGCGCGTGCGCGTCCAATGTCCGCGTCTGCCGATCCTCGGACATCTGTCATCTATACGACACGCTGCCGCGGATGTATAATTGTTAGCGCGCCGATTCCTCCCCACTTATCCTGCACTTACCTCTTTGCAAGCCTGCTTACTCCAAGTGCCTCCACCGTTTTCAGACATACCTGTTTTCAGACATACGCTTGCAGCCGGATGGATTCGCCGGACCCCAAGCGACAACGCCTAGAGCCTACATCGTCCTACAATCTGCGATGTCGCACCCTGGTGACCAGCAGGTCGGTTTGCGTTGCTCTAGTGCGTAAATACGCTGTTCGCATCCTTTGCGTTGCTGCGTCCCGTGTTTTGCGTTATGCGTTATGCGTTATGCGAACATATGCGACACCTTGTTATGCACCGCGTTATGCGAACCTTATCCGATCCCATCTCCTGACTTTCTACACCTTCGACCAACTCCCGCAGTAGTATCGACCCACCGGACGCCAAGCGTCAGAGGCTGGACACGGCTGCGTCCCAGAGCAGCACGTCGACGGTCGGCCCTCCTGCCGTCGCCACGTAAGCGAGCTGCTACATGCAAAGAGCGTGTTCACACCAGTAAGGTACTTACGCTCCGCCTCTCACCGTGCGAAATAGATGCATGGCAATCAGCTCCGGCGCGCATATTTGGCCGCTGCCTGTTAAGCACAGATGTCTTCCGTCACGTTCATCACCGCTCGCGTGCAC